TGCTGGTAAAGCATTACAACCTCCTAACATCAAAAGAATAAATGTATCTCTGCAATAACCAACTTTCAAACCATCACATAAGCGCCTGGAACAAGACATGAGAGGCGACAGCATCATTATTTTGTCAGTTTTGTTGTTTGAAAGTAATAAAATGTGATTATTTTTTTATCAAACTCGAGGTGAGAGCGACGACAGCAGCTACATGGACACCAATGATATTGTCTCTCGCACCAAATTCCCTGAAAGCTGGCTGTGGTCCGATGTCAAATTGCCAGCATGTCCTCCAGACAAGCCTAACTGGTGGGTTCACTGAAACATTTACAAATAAACACAAAGAATCACGTTATCAGTTTAGCTTCAGTCTTAAATGTGTCTTTGTTTCAGCGAAACAATCTCCTTTGTAAAGAAAATGGCTCTGCAGGATACGATCACAACATGGCGGTTCACAGGGATTGGTCTGTCCAAAACTGCTGGTGAGAATTCATTAAACATCAGGCTTCAGTGTTTAGTTGTGTTTCAAAATTTAACATCAACTGATCTATAGGTTTTAGTCCCTCATTGTTTCACTGTTCCTTTATTTTCTGTGTCATTTGTGCTGTGTGAAGGCCTCTGTGTGGCCGACCCTTTGGACATTGTTGTCCGAAAGGACATCTTCATTGATCTCAAACTGCCCTACTCAAGTGTTCGAGGAGAGCAGATAGAAATTAAAGCCGTTCTGCACAACCATAATCCTGAGCCTGCCACTGTAAGTAATGCAACATGGATTACAGACACAGATAATTGTTTTTTAATTGCTCCTAATGTACTTAAATAAGGATTGAACAGTGTGTGTCGATAAGATTGGGTTGTACTGAAATAAATTAAATTGATTTGAAGCTTTAGATCAAATTTAATTTATATAACGTGAACCAGGCCTGTTTGTGAAGTGACGAGGTGTATCAGTTTTAAAGTTGTTTCGCTAAACTAAACTCAGTCTTGGCTCCTGCAAAGCCAACAATCCAGCCTGCATGTAAGCAATAAAAACTATGTTTAGGGGGAATTTGGCAGATAAGTTACATATTTCTTTTTTACTTTTTATTTATCTTCCGATAACTGCTTATACAGACATAGATGTATGCAGTTCTTTGTTTTAAATAACTGAACTACAACAAGTATGCATGTTGTTTAATTCAGACTTTGGCACAAGTCATTTGGTAATTACAGATAAACAGAAACACATTTCCCTCAGATAAACATTAACTTCGTAAAAAAAAAAAGCTAATATTCGGTAACAATGCCAATAAACATGTAAATCTGCAAGGGGATCACATGTTGACATGGGGAAAATTTTAAAAAATTAAGTAATAATAGTACATATTAGTAGTAATAATAATAATAGTGCAAAATAAACTTTAAAAATATACACGCAAGTAAACAGTCAAGATCCATTATGACTGTAATCTTTGGTTTCCACTTAGGTTCAAACGTCTCCATCTTAAGTTATAGTTTTGATGTTGTTTTTTCCATAATGTACATTTTTTAAGTCGACCTCTCCATTGCATAATACTGGGAGGTTGTCATTTTAACCAAGCAGATGTAACACATTTCTTCTCAATCAGAAGCAAGACTCTTAAGTATTTATTGTCTTTGTCCGTCATATCCCTGGAAACTATTCCCAAAATGCATACAGGTGGGTCCAAATCTAAATAAATGCCTGAAATACGTTTCATCTTGTGTTTGTTTGACCATCTTTCTAATGCTGCCCTGGGCATCTGCCTATGTTGACCAAATCAAAACCATCTGAACATCTGAATCGAACTGAGTAACCACGATGCACCTTTTCACCCGTTTGTTGTTTTTAAGGTGCGCGTCTTTCTACTTGAGACAGAACATGTGTGCAGCGCAGCTTCTAAGCGTGGGAAATATCAACAGGAGGTCAAAGTTGGGGCCTCGAGTACACGATCAGTTCCCTTTGTTATTATTCCAATGAGAGAAGGAGATTTCAATATCGAGGTCAAAGTGGCTGTGAAGGACTCTGAGCAGGGTGACGGATTTAGAAAAACGCTGCACGTTGTGGTAAGAGAAACGATCAATCAGTCAATTCAAGTACGTAAAATCCAACCATTCTGTGTTTTGGTTGTCTTCCACTGCCATTGGATATTGAGTTCATTTTAACATGATTGAATTAACAAAACCTGATGTGATATAAAGAAAAAGCTCAATTTCAGATGTTTCCTCATTGCTGCTTCTTCTAGCCTGAAGGTATTCTGATAAAATCTCCCCTAACTATAACATTGGACCCTAAAAACGAAGGAAAAGGTAAGACTCTGGTCAACATTTTTATTTACTCATCTTTAAGCACACGGATTAGTCTCCGTAAGTTGTGTGGTTGAAAAACGTACTTATTTCCATCATTTAATTTAAAGTGCCTTAACGGGCCTGACTTTTAAGAATAAACTATTGCTAAATCAAGAGATGTGTCTCAAGAGGAAAGAAACGCTTGAAATGAAAACAGGAAAAGCCAGAGCGGGATGACGATGAAGTTATGATGAGTGGATGAAGCAGACAAAGAGCACTGAGTTTAGAGCAAAGCTATAGTCACTTCTAAATTGGTGATAATTAGTAAATATTTTTTTTAAATCCAGATGGTAAACAAGTGCAGCTCCTCCGCAGTAACATTCCTCTGATTGACATCATACCGAACTCAACTACCAGCACACAAATAGCAATTACAGGTGATACGCAAAAAAAACGGATGTAAGACTGCAAGATGCAAGTAAGCCTGCATGACGTTAGCGTCTCTTTGCTGCTCGTGGGAATGTTGCCAGGAAAAAAGCCTAAAGAAGAGCTGAAGAACGCCGTCACTGGAGAGTCGATGAGCAGCCTGCTCTACCAACCTTCTGGTTGTGGAGAGGAAAACATGATCCACTTGACAATGCCCGTCATTGCAACCACGTATTTGGACATGACCTACCAGTGGGAAGCCGTGGGGGTCGAGAGACGGGATGAAGCCCTGCAACACGTCATAACCGGTGGGGCAAATAAATATATATTTCTCTGATGATTTATATCCCAGGTCAGGGATCTTCAACTCCAGTCCTCGAGGGGTGGCAACCTGAAACTTAATCAAATTACCTCCTCAGTTTGCAGTCAAGTTCTCCAGAGTCCTGCTAATCATCTGATTGTGTTCTCATTTGTGTTGAAGCATGTAAAAGTTTCGGGACAACGCCGCTTGAGGACTAGAGTTGACAAAAACCCTTTCCTAGGTTTATGTTGATCTCCAGGAAGTGCTTACAGGTACAATCATGTCACAGATTGTCTATGACAGATTGAAGATGATTCTATTTAATTCTTATGTGTATTAAAGTGAATAAAAACTGTTATTCAATTTCAATTTGAACTTTATAAAGAAATGTAATTTTAACCTTGTGCACAATCCCAATGAAAGATGTGCAGCATCAGAGCACATGGTTTCACAAAACATAAACTTCAATCAGTGAATCGTGTTTGTTTTGTTGGGCTTAGGTTACCGTAATCAGCTAAGCTACCGTAAAAGAGACGGATCCTTTGCTGCATACCCTGATCATGACAGCAGCACATGGTGAGCCCTGAAAACCTTCAGGCATAATTATCTAGCTACAGTAATTTGCACAAGTTTTAAAACACTCCTACTGATTGATCAATAAATGGTTCTTTTTCAGTCGTCCTATTAGCTTTCTTTAGTTTTCACATTCACTGTTTATTTGCATTTGAAGCCTAGGGGAAAGAGACGATCCATCAGAACTTCAACCTGGGGTACTAAAGATAAATATCAGATTATTTTTCAGCTGTTACACTCTCAAAAAGAATTAAAATATTTTCAAAGTCAGAAGAAGCTAGTAATATTTGCAGCTCTTTTGTGACTAAGGCCTGGGAAAGTACTGCTCAATGCCACTTTAAAAGATTACAAGTACGACTCCTAAAACAAGCAAAATGGTTGATTGGAGGCTTTACGTGCCTCTACGTAGACGAACTTACAATCTGACTTTTGTTCGGTTTGATGTTTCAGAAGTGACCAACCTTTCTTCATCCTCCGTTTCCCCCCTAAAGGCTGACGGCGTATGTTGTCAAGGTTTTCTCCCTGGCCCACAGACTGGTGGCCGTTCAAAGCAAAGTCATCTGTGACGCCGTCAGCTTTTTGATTCACAACGCACAGCAGCCTGACGGGATGTTCAGAGAAGTTGGAAGAATGTCCCACGTAGAGATGACAGTGAGCACCGTGAAATCATCCAGACCTATTATTCTTCGTTTTAAAAAGCGTAGTATTTGTAAATCAGTATCAGTGTAAGAACAGGTGGTGTGTGTCCACAGGGTGACGTCGGCGGCGTAGATTCGGACGTCTCCCTGACAGCCTTTTGCCTCATTGCCATGCATGAGTCAAGCGGGTTATGTAGTGCCAGTGTTAATGTGAGGATCTTTGTTTTCTCTCACAACACAGTATACTGTAATGCTTCCAATATTCTAGAATTGCTCACCTATTTTAAAATGTTTCCTCTGTTTTATCCAGAGTTTACAAGACAGCATAAACAAAGCAGTGAGCTACCTGCAAAAACGCCTGCTGACCTTAATCAATCCCTATGCCGTTGCCATGGCGTCGTATGCCCTGGCCAATGAAAACAAGCTGAACCGGGAGATCCTGCACAGTTTCTCCTCTCCAGGTGCAATCACACAGTAACACAGACACTATGGAGCAGTTCTAATGAAACAGAACTGTTTCATTAGAACAGTTCTGTTTCTAATGAACAGAAACAGTGCTGTAGTTGAGAGTTAACCTCTCAACTACAGCACTAAGAGAAGACGAGAGAGTTGTCTTGGTCTTTACCACAGACCAAGACAAGGCTTCTTGAGATTGAGTCTTGTTGTCGTCCTCAGATCAGTCCCACTGGCCGGTACCAGTGGGTCGTGTTTACACACTGGAAGCCACAGCATACGCTCTCCTGGCTCTGGTCAGAGTCAAGGTCAGGATGTCTTATTTACTGCTATGACTTCAATATAGACAATCATTCTGGTCAACAGCTTTAACGTGGTCTGTTTTTATCGTGAAGGCCTTTAACGAAGCCTGGCCGATTGCAAGGTGGTTCAACAAGCAGCAAAGAGAAAACGGAGGCTTTGGATCAATTCAGGTAACGTAAAACTTTTTCTTTTCCCAGTCTCTGGATGCCCACATATCTAAGTACCATGATGCTGACAGACAGTTTTAAACCGTTGCACAATCACTCTTGGACTTTGTCAGATTGTCGTGTTGAGAAGATGAAGTTCTTGTCCAGAGGAACTGCAGGACTGTACCTCCTCTGCTGAACTAGTTTTTATTGTAATTGGAAAAGAAAAATGCAGACAGACATTTTTGTTAGCATCCATACATCAATATGTAAACAAATGTTTTCTCATCTCATTGGTTTCTTTTTTTAGCTTTAACCTGAAACACAGTTATGTTTGGTGTGAAAGGAGGCCAAAACATGCTACGTATGAAATACTTAAGAGGTAGTGCATAGGCAGCCATCACTGTCAATGTTTGCCCATCTTATATTTAGTAAATTCCCAAAAATTTCTCCACTGCAGATTTCTTTTTTCAAAGAAAGTTTGCTTGAAACAAAGACAGCCGTGCTTAAACAACTTTTTGGCTGCCGGTGCTTATTAGCTTGGTAGTGACCACAGAAACATCATGGATCTCATTTCTAAAACTTTGCCCAGGAGCTATACTAAAACTATGCATTTGCCCAAAAGAAAACAAAATGGCAAACCTCCGGAATAATCCAGATTAATAAAACTGGAACCATAAATTAAAGCTTCACCTCAGCATTTCCCTACATTGCTCATTTATTCATGTCCTCTACATTCAGCCATAAATGGTCGATGCAAAGTGCCTCATGAACATCAGCTGATCAACGTCATTCATGGCCAACAATGGCAATCACAGAGAAAAGAGTAAAGAAACACAATTCAGTGAGATGAGGGAACAAAATCTTATTTTTTTAGCCACAGTAGTGGCGTGACAAATAAAAGTTACACACCAACATTGGCATTTTTAGTAGAAGGCCGATACACGCTCCATGTGAGTGATATTAAAGCGCACCTCCTCTGCACTCTGTGGGTTTGGAGAGGAAGTGAGTAGCCACTGCCCCCTGCTGGTTATAGTGGAGGAGTGCATCAGGACGCATGACCCGAGAAGTTAGAACTTACTTCCAGATTCTCTGATTTGCAGCAGTGGCAATGCCTCTTCTGTCAAGCTTGTTTTTTGTAGGTCACAATTTTAGCGCCACGTTTATAATTGAGACCCCAGGCCTCCTCTGACTGATGTCATTCGCCCTCACACAGACTTTTTGAATGAGAATTATTATTTATGTATGTCAAAACTGTTCAATAACACATTAGTACTGAGAGTTAATTAATCCAGATACCACCTGTTGTACCTTTGTCACACTTTAAAACCACAGCTTTGTGAAATAGCGTCGATTGGTCTGTTTCTTTGACGTCAGAACTCATTTTTTTTCATGTCCGTCTTGTCTCTGCAGGCCACTGTGACAGTGTACCAGGCTGTGGCAGAGTTCTGGACCAGTGAACAGAACCCAGGCTATGATCTAAATGTGGACATCTTGTTGCCGGGCAGATCAAAGCCTGTAAAATACAACTTCAACCAGAGGAACCACTTTGCCACAAGAACATCTAAAGTTCGAACAAGCATTTTATAACAATAAGTAGCTCAAACTATTATGAAATAAATCTATTTTATGTGTTTTTGCTGATTTGTTTATTTGATTTTAAATCATTATAGATCAATAATATAAACCAAGACGTGACTGTCGTTGCTACAGGCCTAGGAGAAGCCACAGTGACGGTAAGTCAAATGTTTGACTGTTGTTTTGGGTTCAGTTGTAGTCATGGAAAGTCAAACACATTTTTAATTTTAAATACTTAAGAGTGACTTCCTATTAATTTATCATATGGTAACTTAAAACCTAATTTTTTTATGTGACAGATGGTGTCATTGTTTTATGCTTTACCTAAAGAAAAGCATAGTGATTGTCAGAAGTTCAACATGACAGTAGAACTCCTCCCAGGTTCGTCTACTTGTGTTTTGTGTCTCTTTGTTTGCATGAGCATGTTTTATACCAAACTGCTGTGACTTTCCACCAAACAAACAGAGGACTACAAACTACTTTGTCTGTCATGTTTCCAGAAAAAACAAGTGAAGTTGAGAAGATATACAACATGAGAATACTGCTTTTGTAAGATCTATGAGGCCATTTCATGAAAATTGTCCATTTAACCCTCAAATGTAATCTTAATCAGGAAAAAGTTAATCCTGGTGGTGATTGTCTCAGTAATTGAGACAATCACCTGGTAACAAATCTGTGAGTTCCTCCTTTTTACAGCAAGCTTTACAGAGATCTAATAAAATGAAAAGAAAAAAAAATCAAACAAAAGTGTGTTCATTTTGCACCAAATTACATTTAATTATCTTAACTTTGTATTTCTATCAACTCTTTTCCTCTTTTAATTTTTATTCTGCACAGATATAAGAACCAACATCGAGATGCCGCCATGACAGTTTTGGATATCGGTTTGCTAACCGGCTTCACTGTTAACACCAAAGACCTAAACCTTGTAAGACACACACAGACCTTCAAGCTTAGACTGATCAATGTAAATCTTTAAATAAAGATATGTTTCTGTTCTCACGGATGAGAATCACAGTTGTTTTCTTGCATTTAGTTATCTAAAGGTCGAGCCCGCACTATCTCAAAGTACAAGGAGATTATCAGTGACTCAGAAAGAAGCTCAATCACCATCTACATGGACAAAGTAAGTCTTTAGTATTACATCCATCCAACATTTTTTTCCATCTATATTCTACTCTTTCATTTGTCTTACTAATATTTCTCCAAAGGTTTCACACACAAAACCAGAGGAGATCATTTTTAGGATTCACCAGAAGCAGGCAGTGGGAGTACTACAGCCAGCAGCTGTGTCTGTTTATGAGCACGACAGCCCTCAGTATGGTAATTACAACATGTCGAAAATATTTTTAACATATATAAATATACATTTAAAATCTGCTTGTGCTTAATACACCATGCAGAGACGCGCTGTGTGAGGTTCTACCATCCAGAGAGGGACGCTGGGAAGCTGCTGCGGCTCTGCAAAAACGACGAATGCATTTGTGCTGAAGGTGAATAAAACTTGTCTTAATAGTCGGTGAAAATTAGCTTTAAAAAGAAATATTACTTCTTTGGAAGAGACCAAATCACGATACATGCAGCTAAATTTACGACCTCATACTTGTTTGTAAATAAATAAAACAATACATGTTCAAAAGTTGCAAGACACACTAATAACTATTGTCATTTGAAGTGTGAAACTCTGATATTCAGTCTTTGTCTCTAGCAGGTTTATGCTGCATGAAGAAATTCTGAATTATTTGGAAAAAATTATCCAACGTTCTTTTAGCAGAGTCTGACTTCTTACTGACCCCTGCTGGTCGTTTTAAGTAGTGGCATGAGACTGACACCCACCATGACTTTTGAGTTGATCTAGTACAAACATTTAACAAGGTAATCTTCATCTGAAATCACCATGAAGCATAAACTAAATTCTACATCACAATCATAAAATTATTCGGTTTCTAGAATAGTGTAAAATTTTCTTAGCTACAACATTTATATACAACTTAAACAACATGGTAAAACCTTTTTATGAGGACAATATTCCCTTTCTGTCAGAAGAGGGATTTATACTTTTAAAATACAGATCTATGGTGTCAGGGTGTGTGGTAGTGAAAATAGGACCCTGATCCTAAGGTAGTCATATTAATGTACCTTTAGGTTCATAAATTAAACCTATTATTTCTCTGAGTGTAGTGGCTAAGAAATTAGAGAAGTTTTACTGATAATTTTTGCTTTTGGTGATGAGGGAGGATATATTCATTCACTCTCTGAGTTCCTGACTGTTTTATGAATGAAGCTCTTGGGTCATACGTCTCATTGCAACTGCTGTGTGATTGCAGAGAACTGCAGCATGCAGAAGAAGGGCAAAATCAACGACGACGACCGGACAGATAAGATTTGTGAGACTGAACGGAACAGCAAAATAGACTTTGGTAAGTGTGTATTTGTACGAATTTCCCAATGAGTTGTGTAAATGTGCTGATGATGTACAACTTGCATATTCTCAGCTTACAAAGTGAGAGTGGAAGAGTTTGCAGACGGCGTGTCCACTGATATTTACACAGTGCTTGTGCTTGATGTCATCAAAGAAGGTGGGGTTTGTGTCCATCACACTTACAGCTTTTGAAAGTTATAAAAATTTACAGTTGAATCTTCATTTCTGTTTATTAGTAGAGTAATGTATTAACAGATGGAGCATCAGCAAGAATTTAATATTAATATGACACTTTGTCATGTTTCTAAATTTCTTTTCGAGTGTATTCAAACTCCTTGAACGTTTTCACATTTTGTCAATTACAAACCACAAGCTTCACTTTATTTTATTGATATTTTATGTAACAGACCAGCACAAATTAACCCTAATATGAGGCCTTTTAGTAAAATAAAATGCAAGTATCCACTACTTGTTGGTTTTGCCCTGATAAGAAAGTTAAAATATCTATATGCAATCGAGCAAAGCTTTTTTTTTTCCCTTGAGAAAAAACCCTGTGTTTTGAAAAGATGTTGCTTCGGTATCAGATTTCGAATGGCCCAGTCAAAGTCCAGTTCTTACCTTAAGTAAGACATGTGAATTGTTGCTGATGCTCTCCATAGAAACTGACTGAAGCTGAGCATTTTTGCTAAGGAGATTAAGGGAAGAAAAACATCCAAAGTTATCATCTTGAGGGCCCATATATGAAGGCACAGCACAGTTTTAAACTCTAAGGTTTTCTCCCTCTTCACTATTATGGGTTGCCATGGGGCTTATCAAAATCAAATTGCCAAAAAATACTTTCCAGTTTGTTGCTGTATTTGTGTTTTTACACTGTAATATTTGCTTCCCAAACAAAATCAAACATTTATTCATCAAAGTCCCATTGAATGTATTAGTAACAATGATGGTTAAGTTATTATAATCTAAATGTATTGCTGAAAATATGTGTAGTAATTTTAGAAAGACGTGCGGATGATGAAGATGATGATGGCCCAGTTTCTCTCTCTGCTGAGTCACTATGTCCAATTAAATTGCAACATATAAAAACCGTGTTTTTAATCATAGGAAGTTCAGATGTGGGTCCTCAGAATAAAAGGCGCACATTCCTCGGTTTCCGGCACTGCAGAGAAGCTCTAGACATAAAAATAGGACAAAATTACCTCATCATGGGCACCTCCAAAGATATTCACGCTGATGAACCCAATCATTCGTAAGTTTACTCTGGTTGATCATCAGTTTGTTAGTTGTGTACTTTTGTCAGGATTTTGAACGTGATCTTTCCATTTTTCTATCAGGTACCAATATGTACTCGGTGAGCGGACCTGGATTGAGTACTGGCCCACCGAAGCAGAATGTGGAAATAAGAAGTACAACACCACCTGTGCTGGCATGGAGGCAATGGTCCAGCAGTACACGCTCTTTGGGTGTCGACAGTAGTAACACAAGTGAAGGCTTAAATAAGATTTCTGCTTTTCAAAGTTCTCTGACACATAAGAGTCTATGTTGGGCCATTTCAGAGAAATATGACAGCTTCAGTGGAAAAAGAGACAGTTATGTTAAATCAAATAAACATCTTTCAAGTAGGACCTGAAATGCTTTTATTTTGATCAACATAAGTGTCTGTATGTCTTGGGGGTTTTCACTAAGAAAAAAACGGCTAACATTTAATTACTAACTGTAACATTTTCTTCAACCCTGCTTGGAAACAATGTCAAAAGTTTTGGTTAAACAACACAGTATTAACAAGAAAATTATAATTTTTTAAACAAATTAGTAAATAGTAATATTTTCAAGTACATTTATCCAAAAAACATTGTTAGAGTGAGTGGGCGCTATTTTTTTCCTGAGATCTTTAGCTGATGTTTGCCAAATGAACGCTAGGGGGCTACAGCACATAATTCATGAATGCGTCATCAGCGGAGAAGAAAAAAAAGAAAGTGACGCACTTCCTTTTGCCAAGACGCCGATGGGTTGTGTAGGTGTTCTCTGAGAATAAAGGCTTGAACTTTAACTTCACGACTCGACAGCCGGCTGTAGAGCTGCGACAGACCAGTGCTCAGTGATAGTTTAGGATTCTTTGCAGCCAAATTAATCTTCGAGGTTGAAGTGCGTCTTCATTTTCTGTCATGGCAAAGGTACAAGTGTTAAATGTTGCTGTTTTGGACAACCCGAGCCCATTTGGAAACCCGTTTCAGTTTGAGATAACGTTTGAATGCATGGAGGATTTACCTGAAGGTGAGTTTTCTTTTATTGTCAGTAAAATCACACTATCTGTGAGCTGTTGAGTTTGGGCGCTCTTAGGTTTTTATGAAGTGTTAGCTTCACTGTGAGAAAGCGTAACACATCAGTACGTCGCGTTTATGCATTTTAGTTTACCTGAAAATAACTGTTAACTTGCGCTTTATACGGCTCGTATGCATTTCTTTATGCGAACTGTTAAAAATTGGCGCTGGCGCGTTTGTGCTGACAAGCCCGCCTTCTGTTGTAGCTGATTGGCTCTTTTACCAGTGCGTCAGTGTTTTCCGACAAGATGATTGGCTGGCGGCATTACATTGGTATGTCAAGGAATTGCCGCGAAATACAAATTCCTGCCGTGGATTAAAATACCCAGAAATAAACTGTGCTTTCTTTTAGAAATAATCTGTCGTTTGTGTTTGCTCATTTGTTTATTTGTTTCATTTTTTGAGATTTTTTTTTTTCTGTTATCTGTTTCCACTTCTGTGTGCTGCGGTTGAAAAGAAAGCATTATTAAATGTGGGAAAACGTAGCCGCGAAAACCAACCATAACAAGGTTTGCTATCAACAAACTGTTATAAACCTGCCTTTTTGGGGGTGCATTTTGCCTTCAACATTAGATATAAGGTGTTATTTTACGCATTTTAGTGTTCGTATTATGCTTGAACTAGATGTTTGTCGTTCAAGCCCCTTTAATTTAAAACAATGCATACATAACCAGTTAAAATCAGATGCAAGATTTTCTGCCCATCAATGATCCATTTGCAGTTATATTTGAGCTTTCACTAAAAAATATGATTTGTTTTAATTCAGACTGTAAACTGAAATTAATTACAGTTGGAAACGCATTGCTTGAAAAATATAAATATGCGAGTTGAAATCAAGTCAAAGATGCTTTTAATCATAATCAATAACTATGACTACTTGCTGAATGTCAGTAGCTGGCATCCTTTTTAAATGTAAAGCTGTTATAAATGTAAGCTTATTGTTTTTTGTTTGTTTTTTTGTTTTTGTCTTTTTTAAGTATTTTCCCTTATATATAAGAAAGATAAATTGAGCTGCTGCTGTAAAACTAAGTCTAAATGTAGTGGATTTTTCTTAAAGATTTGGTTCACAACATATTTTTCACAAGAATAAATATATTGTGACGATAACCTCATTAAAACAGCAACGTTTAATGTTATGTGTCAACAGTAAGAATAACAATTGCTTTTCTTTTTAAAAATAGATAATTTAGGACAAGTTACACATTTTTGTGCAAGCACTGTAATACCAAGTGGGTATATAATTTTTAAAAATCCTTTATGTTTGTAAAATTGTCCATTTATATTAATGCATATTCAACCAACTTCAGTGCTTGTTTCTCTGAACTTGCAGAACACAACTAATACTTATTTTGTATTTTTATAATTTAATATTATTATTATTATTATTATTGCTTGAATTTGCCGTTTGCAAAGCTTTCCAATGAATTCCCAGTGGCATCATGTTAAAAATCCTTCATTCTGAACTCAAAAAAACTGGAACATACAGAGCTGAAATTTGAATTTTTAACTCAGTTTTTATTTTTGTGAAAAATATCCTAACCCGTCACCTCTTTCCTTCCTCTATTAGATCTGGAGTGGAAGATCATCTATGTTGGTTCTGCAGAAAGTGAAGAGTACGACCAGGTTCTAGATTCTGTTTTGGTCGGTCCAGTTCCAGCCGGAAGACACATGTTTGTGTTTCAGGTGAGTTCCCGATTGACTACGTTTCTTGTCTAATGTTATGTTACAAACCAGTAAAACAGGACATCGTCTGGCCACCAAACTGATTAAGCTTCACTAAATCTGTGAACACGAAATAAGTGCAGCCCTCAGCACTTTTCAAAGTTATTTTCAGCATTAGCAAGATTTTTAAAGTTTAAAGAAGTACAAGCTTAAGAAACCATTTAAAATGAAACTATATCTAGAGGTGAGATGTCTAGAGATGCCTGCTCTTCGTTCAGGCTGAAAGTGAGAGAGAGCAAGACTTTTAAACAGATATCAGGAAAGCTGGACATTGTGCATAAAATTGCTCAGTTTTATCCTGAAGAAAATACATACATATGTTAAGGTTTTTGTAATTTGAGCCCTGCTAAGAAGGCCAAATGGTGCATAATTTGTAATTTCATAATTTTGTCTAAAACAAAATGGCAAAACCCTGCTCTGCAGCTGCTGTTCCCTCGTCCATGGCTTTACCTCTGGTTCTAAAATAAATGACTACTGAGTGCTTTCAACCGAAAGAGTGGAAGCAATAAGTTTGAGCTGTTCTTACATTTTCATACTTTAATGTTCAGAAGAGAAATCAGAGAAACTCACTGGCAAGTCAAAGCTAATCTACAAAACTCTGATTGAGGCTTCAACTTAATTTGTCCCCGTTTTTATTCCCAAGTTCTTGATTTTACAATATGGAACAATAAACTCTTGAGTTGATGTTTTTGTTTGCTCTGCTCCAACCCAACAGGCTGACGCTCCTAATACAGGTCTGATTCCAGAGACTGACGCTGTGGGAGTGACGGTAGTCCTCATAACCTGCACCTACCGCGGACAGGAGTTCATTCGCATCGGTTATTATGTCAACAATGAATACACAGATCCAGAGCTGCGGGAAAACCCCCCCTTAAAGCCAGACTACTCTCAGGTAACTAACAGAGGATATGTTGTATTTAAATGGGCCATTTTTCTGAGCAGACTTTAGTGAAGTGCAGCTCTCTGCTGCCCTCCAGTGTCTCCAAAAGGAATTTGTTTTGTGTGTGTGTTCCTGTCTTCCATTGTGTAATAATTTAATTTTCTTACTCTGAAAAACGTCTGTTTTTACGCAGGTGTTACTAAGTTTAGATTTTGATCATATTTGTATTTTAGGTGACCTTAACTTGGATATGCGTCTAAAAAGGTTAAATCTCACTCTAACTCTGCCCATTTAGTCCTAATTGACATTTAAGACCCTTTCAAGACCAAATATCAAATACCCTGAAAAATCCACTTTGGTTGATTTGATTTTAGCAAACCATTCCCACAAATACTCAACTGTTTTTGCTAATATTATTAGTTATTACTGTCTCAACAGTACAAAATACAAAAGTAGGTGTAACTAAATTTTACACGGTTACCAACAGCGATATGCAACGCTTGTCAGAACAGGATTTCTGCCACTTGCACCACTTTGAGTAGAGGAAAACATTCCTGACATCAGAGGTATGACTGCACTGGAGTTTATAATGGTTATACTGAAACTGTAAATAAATATGCTTCTTTCAAAAATTGCTGGATGAAAGGCAAAAATAATCCATGGTCAGAAGGCAGAGAGTCTGTAGAATAACAGTGATTTCATCAAAGCATATTCTCAGCAGCATTGTTTTTTTGTAGCTCACTTAATAACATTATTCAAAGATATTGCTTCTTTTTTTGTTTGTAATTAAGGGAATTGTTTGGTCTATCGTCATTTTTGGAAGCAAAAAGTCTTTGTTATAAATCTTTTTTTTTTTATTTACTCTTTGCTTTGAAACAAATCCCATCTGCGATAATTGATAAATCCCTTCGACACATAAGGGATTATCGCAAAAAATATTGCGATACTTTTTTGTTTGTTTGTCAGTGTTACCCAGACCCACCAGTTACCTTAAATCATGTACTTAAAGGGCACAAGCATACAAAGCCCCTGATCTTTCTGTCCTCCCCGTAGCTTCAGAGGAACATCTTGGCCTCCAACCCCCGTGTCACCCGCTTCCACATCAACTGGGAGGGATCGGCGGACAAGATGGAAGACAGCGAAAACGTGGACCCGTCCCCGAACGTCGGCGGCATGCTGCCCCCGTCCTGCGTTCCAGGAAAGATGCCAGCTCTTGGACAGATGCCGGACAACTCCATGGACTGCATGTAGCGGTCCGGATGACGAACAAGGAGCTCTTCTTACCTTTACATTCGTAAACATCACTAACTTTTCTAACAGACCACGGACGTCCCATGTGGACATGTGAAGGACAAAACGACATGGGACATTTTTTTTCTCTCTTGTGTGGCCCATTTAATGGGATGGGTGTGGCCAGCGTAGGTTCCTCTCCTGTATGCTTTTCTTTCTAATACTCGTAGATCTGCACAGCCAGAAATGCCTTAATTTATTATTTCTTTCTCATACTTTAATATTCTCCCTGAGAAACCCTGATTCCTCTTCAACTATGTTTTTTTTTTTTTTCTTTGTCCTTTTGAGCATTGGACATCACTGCACATATAACACAAGCTTTATACAGTTCAGGCTCTTCATTATGCAAAAACATAATCTCATCTGGTGCTTCTCATGAGACAAAAAAAAAATTCAGTCTCCTCCTGAGAGGTGGCACAACCCCGTTGTTAGTTTTGACATACAATGGTGAACCCACACATTTGAGCAAACCCCACTTTGTCCACCATTTGTTTAAAATTCACTGAACTTGAGGTTTATAGGAGAAACGGATCCCATGTTAATGTCGAGTTCTGCGGTTTCAAAAGGCTCTTTGTAAATAATGTTACTTAGTGCTTGTTTTGCCTTCTGCAGAGGGGGTTGTTTAATTTTGTACTGCATAACTATATATTATATACCTCCATGTTTTGTTTTTTAATTATTTTTATCAACTGCGAGGTTAAATAAAGTTGTTGGATTTTTTTCTGATTATCCCTGCGCCTTCCAGCTCCTTTCTGCTTCGACTCGTGGAGAATAGAAAGCACAGCAACAGCAGTGGAGGAAGAAAAAAAAAACAAGAAAAAAAACGGCCCTGTCTTCTCCCCTCCCCGCTCTGACTCGCTCTTTTTTCCAGTTTCATTCATAAAATGCAGCAGCATCACTTCACCATTTCCACTCCAGCCTCATGTTGCTAGGAAACTGCAGCACAAAATTGGAGGAGAGGAGAGGGGAGGGGGCGTCTGCTCTCGCTTGTTTTATCTTCGTCGCATCGAGTAACTCCCCCATCCATCCATCTGTTCCCTCCACTTCTGATGTCTGCAATGTTTAAGGTGATGAAAAGCATTAGTTACGCATTCATAATGGACGCGATTAGGGGTGAAAAAAATTGCTGAAAATAACTAAATGCCACTTATCAGGTAAAAATCCTGCTTATTGCAGCTTGAATGTTTGCTGCTTTCCTGTTTATGTCTAGATCTTAGGTTTCAATAGTAGAAATGCACCTGCAGCTGAAGGCTCGTGTTGAAACCAGGTGGACCAGCTTGATGTCTTGTCAACGCCCAGCAGATCTCGCATAAAAACAGAACTTCACATGTAGGGAAACGGGTCGGTTCGGTCCATATAGGAACGAATGATACCGATGTGATGGGTATTAACTGTTCATGTTTTTTGCTACTGACGTACTATTACAATATGAAATGGCTCCAAAGGATATGCAAATATGTGAGAAATTAGCCTTTTGATGATGCTGGATATAAAGGGCTCTCGGTGCTCTCCCAGTAGGTAATCCAGGTGCTGCGTTGAGGGGTGCAGATGGAGGGAGGGGTGGGGTTTGACTGACCGCCTGGCTGTAGAAACACCTGGTATAACAATAAAAGTAAAAGGAGGGGGGAGAAAAATTCTGTTTATTCAGATTGCGGTTTTTTTTCCTTACTAAAAATCCCTCCAAAGAGTGTAAACGTCCTTGCTTTCACAATGCTTTATGGAGATGGCAAGTCAACTTATCATATAATGTAAATTCTTAAAAGCAAGCATAACTCTATTTTCATTAGTAAAGTTTAATATTTATATATGGAGAAGGGCTCTATGGTGTCCATAATGAACATGTGAGATATCTCATGTCATTATTGTGTGACAAGTTTTTAAATTTGTGAGTGTTGCGCTGTCATATATATTTAAATATCTTCTTCACAAGTTAAACATTGTGCTGGAAAAAGAGTTTGTGTGTGTGAGTGAAGTTGAAATCCAGAATTCAAGGTTTGTATTTCAATATCCAAAAGGAGAAAAAAAAAATTCCAGACATTTCGGATGCTGTTTTGTATAGAAAAACGGAAAAAGTAAAAAAAATAATTATCAGCATCATATTTTGATTTACCTGTACAAGTTATTTACTTGTAAATAACTTTGGTCAGTTCTGTTAAGTTGACCAAACGCTTGTCATACCAGCTTAATTAAAAAAAGATAATTTATCTCAACCAAATCAACTTCCTTAATTTTTTTAAAGGCACAGAAAATGAAAGAAAGTAGTTCTCAGAAACCATGGTTAATTAGGCAAATATTAGTTCAGTGATAGGAAATCTATATTTTTAAGCATTTTCAGTTTATACAATAAATGTTTGAGTGTTCTTTTCTTCAGTCTGTAGCATAATCAGTTTAATGAGTTTGTTATTAAAGTTTTGATTTAGAGCAGCATGTGTTCCTAAGAACTTTAAGTGCAAGTAAAAAAAAAATTACAAAAAATGTTAGCTTTAGTATTCACTTAAAAAACATAATTTTGAACTCAACTTTACATATCTTTAGTTATAGTTCTGACCAGTTGCCGTTATTAATAGTAACAAAATGAAGTGCAGTTTGATTATGTGATACGATGTCCTGCCATACAGGCGTGCGTTAAATTCTGACCAACATATCTAAAAATAGCACGCGGTTGACGTCACTCAGCCAAACGTGTATCAGTCGCTGGATGCTGGAGGGGACGGGGGTGGGGTAAATGAGTTTTCTTTTCTTTTTTTTAAGCGGGGGGAGGTGGGCGGGCCTTCCTGTCAATCACTGCTCACAGCCAATGGACAACATCGCGCTCACTGAGATTCCCACGGTCCCTCCGCATCAAGCCAATGGAGAACGGAGACCAGAGACAGTGGGCGCGTGCGTTGTTGGGAGGAAAATAATCGATGACGCTCCTCTCACTCGTTATTCTGTTAGGACTGTCAGACGCTCTGTCCCTTTGAGGGATAGAACAAGATATCCAATCAGAGGACTCCTGAGCTTACCGTTGCAAGGATGTAGCCAATCATCGAGCGGCTCTCAACTGTCAATTAACGGATGATTCGGCGAGTGGGCGGAGCGTTCGCCAGCCTGTAGTTCCGTCATCTCGCTCGTCTCCGAGGCTACGGGGGGGCCGATGTTGATTTGGATGAATACCTGCAGTTGCCGGACCCAGCCTAGGTCGATTTGTTTTTTTTAAAGCTGGGTTCACCACCGGAAAACGGGACGCTTCGGACTGAGAATATTGGTCGCTCGCGCCGGGAATCGTTGTTTTTCTGGACTGAGGAGAGGTGGGGAGCCGGGGGTGGGGAGGGGGGCTCAATCGGCGGGGGCTGCAAGGAGGGTCAGGCGGAGACTGTATCCTCCGTGCTCGGGCCATCTGCGCCGAGCTCGGTCTGATGGTTCCATTGAAGCCCTAATCAGGGGGCCGGGGGTCCACGGAGAGGATCTGAAACCCGGCGTCGGCTGCGGATGACCGTGGAGGGAGTGGAGCCGCTTTCCCAGCCTTTCCTCGCCGTGGCGCCGCATTAGCAGCATCTGTCGGGGATTCTTCTTCTTCTTTTATTTTATTTTCTCTTCTTCTTCAAAACGGGTTAACGCTCCGTTTCTGTTGGGTAGAGGAAACACAGAGACGATCTAAGAGAGATTAAACCGGCTTGAGGAGGCTGCAGGGCGGCCCAAAGCCACGGATTGCTCCGTTGACAGGTTGTCATCATGGGCAACGCGCCCACGGCCAGAAAGGGCAGCGAGATGGAAAGCGGTGGGTATGCTCTCTCTCTCTCTCTCTCTCTCTCTCTTTCTCTTTCTGTCTCTCTCTCTCACCTCCATCCCCTCCCCTCCGATCTTTACCTGCTCCGTTACATCCTCATGAAACGATGAGAAACAACGTGACACAGCATCCCGTTAAAGCTTCACACCACCTGCCTTACGCTACAAGCAGGCCTTTTCTCCCCCTCTCCACCTCCATTCATTACGACTCGCTAATTGGGCTTTAAACTGTACGCGTGCAGAAATTACGCAGCAACGCTTCACTCCGTGTCCATATGAAACATCCTGATCAGGAATCGATTTTAGGATCTGTTTGTGGTGCGTTAGTGAGGCATGAGATTCTACACGCGACGTACAGCAAGTTTTAGTCTATAGTCATCATTTTATGAGCTGCAAACCAGCGAGTGCAAGCTGCGGCTATGTTAGCATCTCCACTTCTCTTGTGCTCCGATCTTGGCAAGATCGCAAACGAGCTATGTGTCAGATGTTCCCCGAACACTCTGTGCCTGTTGCTTTATGGAAATAGATATTGTTGTTGGCACTGGTCCCAACACGCCCAGTGCCGGCCCAAAGCATCGGCGAACTGCGAAGCTTCTCGGAAGCTCGGGATTGGTTTTTGGGGCTTCCTTCAACAAAAACTTGAATTCACATTGATAAATTCACCACTGTCTGCACACATGCGTGGAGGGATATGTGTAAATATGTTTAGCATGTTTGGGGTTACGTTGAAACTTTTTATGCTACTTGAGCTGGGGGGGAAATTCAGGAATATTTAAACTTTTTTGCAAATAAGTCATAAGTATTTGTGATCTATGTTTTGTTACACGAGAACAAACTATTTAGAAGGACTTCCCTGAATAAAAATGAAAGAAAAAAAAGTTACAATGTAACGACACATTTATATTTTTTTCCTAAATTATATGTTTCTTGTGACGCTTTTGGTTCTGGACATTATTCAAAAAACTATTAATTATTCTCACATTTGTGCAGTTTTCTCCTCAACTTTACTGTAGAAGTTATGTAAAACTATTCAAAACTATTTCACAGAATAGAATAGAAATTCCTTCATTGTCCCACACAGAGATTATATATATATATATATATATATATATATATATATATATATATATATATATATATATTCGTATTTGAGAGGGCAAACTTGCGTTAGTATGTCATTGTCACTATTTTTAGTTGAAAATGGTCTCAAAATGACAATATTATCGTTTATCGCAATCATTTCTGGCGAAATTTATCGTCCAGCAAAATGTGATTCGTAACCGCGACAGGCCCGGTTGGGAGGCACCACAAAAAATATTCCATACATCCTTGGCATGGACCTGCACTCAGCTCCAGCTCAATACAAATTTATTGTTGAGCAGAAAATGAAAGCCTTCCCTCTTTGCACTATAATATAACACGAAGCGTCAGAAAGTGGTTTGCATGGCAAAACATTAGCGGGACATGTGCTACAAGCACTTTAACCAACAACATATGCCACTGTGTAATGCTTAAACACGGTTGCTGTGCAACAAGGATTAGTTAGACTCTCCTCTGCTGTGTCGTCTACATTCAGGCTGTTTGTCTGTGCAGAGCAGATGCTTGCTCAGCCCATTCTTATTTATTTATGCATTTAATTTTTGAGAATCATATAGATTATTTGCCATGCAGACTGGAAAGCTCTTACTTCGCTCCCAGTTTCAGGAATTGGCTCTTAGAGTTTCAGGAAAGCGTAACGCGTTTTGTGCCTTCTTTCTGTTTTATTATAAAAATATCTATTTAAAAAAAAACACATCAAATTTCTTACCACAGCCACTGAAACATGTAATTATGCTGTCTTTTTGAGGTGTTTTCACAAGTGGAGTTTTGAGCACTCTGACTGGATGAGTGTGTGTGTGTGTGTGTGCGTGTGTGTCTGTGTGTGTGTTGGATGCAAATTATTGTTTGGAACTGCTTTTCATGTTAGTCAAAGTTGTGAAGTAATGCCACAAATAACAGTGAAGCAGGATGTAGGCTTAGTCATGCGTTGTGCAGTTGACCTCTAAAAATATCAGCAGACTCTTTAAGTATTTCTGTGGCATCTCTCATTATCTGTAACAACAAACCGCTAACACACGTTTCTCCCGTCCTCCTGCAGTCAAGGAGTTCCTTGCTAAAGCCAAAGAGGACTTCCTCAAGAAATGGGAGAATCCTTCACAGGTTTGCATCTGTTTGATTCACTTTAATGTGCAGAAAGTGGAAGACACTCTTGCAGTTGTCATTTATGTTTTGCCCAACTCTGGCTTAGGACAATTTATGTCTGTCAGCCACACAGAAATATAGAAATTAATAGTTTTAAAGTTTTACTACAACGTCTAAATTGTTCGGCTCATTTGAGTGTAACAAAGTTTGATTGGAAGGCGGACACCCCACCTACCACTCAGCTGAGATTTAAGGGGAAACCAACAGTGACCACTGCATCAAGTCGTCACTTTCTAATGACCGGATCAGGGATTAATATGATTGTGTCTTAAAATACATCAATGCAGTTGTTGTGACAATTGTTTTTCATGGTTTACCAAAGTGTTTTCTCTACATCGCATTGTGCACTGGCAGGTATTTGCCCAATGGTAAAGATTAATCAGTCAGTTAAATTTTTTTTTTGTTTAGAAGATTTTAGCAACAAGGCATTTCGAACATCATAAAAACACGAAAATACAAGGTCATAGAACATACGGTGAACATTTGAAACATTACATTTTCCCGTCGTTACACTTCAGATTGTTGATTCGTGTTTCATGACTGTGTTTCAAAAGCAGCTCTAAACAGGTGGGTTTGTAGTCCAGACTTAACGGCACTCAGTGTTTCAGCTGTTCTGCAGTTTTCTGGAAGTTTGTTCCAGATTTGTGGTGCATAGAAGCTGAATGTTGCTTCTCCGCGTTTGGTTCTGGTTCTGGGAATGCAGAGCAGAACCAGAATCAGAATACCTGAGAGGTCTGGAAGGTTGATGCAACAACAACAAAGACATTTTTATACAAAATAATGAATCTTTTTCTGTTATAGTACAACAACCATACAAACTACTGCAGAAAATCCCAACATTTCATTGAAATACTTTCATAGATGTGGGAGAAAATCCCAAGTTGAGAAACGTTAACATTTCTCAACATTGTCTACTCATTTAAATGTAATTGAAGCATTTTGGTATCTTAAACTCTGCTGTTTGAGAAAGTTTTAGTCAGGAATCCACAACCTTATTAGTTCCCCTGAGGGATAACTATTTTACGACTCACTTTTCTCACTTAGCCCCTCTTCAAACTGGGAAAGACCAACAATTGATCCCTGTGTAAGTCAGGAAATGGTGGCTAAAAAACTCACAGTAAGATTAACAGCATCACTTAGTGACATTTTGGGGTCACTAATTGATGTGACCTCAAGACCAAATGAACCAAAAGACCAAATGAACCATCTCAATGCCCAGACCTGATGCTGTAACCATCACCGTTTCTGTTTGCAGCTGTGAATAAAGACGGACTGGTTCTAAATTTCTGGCCGATTTTCAATCTCCAGTTTTTGTGAAACTGTGACCCGCCAATTCCAGTTTTCTCTTCAGAGAATGCAACCATCACTGTTTCCAACAAATACAGCATCCCGTTTACATTCCCGCAGGCAGTTCTTTATGCATGTTTTCATAGTCTTGTAAAAAGCCTGTTTTTGCAGAAACATACAGCAGCACAGTTTGGGCAGTTCTCCTATCACACACGCCCATTACTTTGAATGTAAACCTGCTATTTTTTCCTTACGTTGCATATTAGACCTTACTTTACAGTACTTATCTTATTTTTTTTGTTATTATGAATATTTTCATGTCTGTCTGTGGACATCCGTTTCATGCGTTTATGAAAATGGCTTTGCAATGGTGTCTCCTGCCGTCCTTTTTCAGAAAAACGTGCTAACTCTTCCTGTTTTCCCCGTGTCCAGAACACTGCTAGCCTGGAGCAGTTTGAGAGGTTGAAAACCTTGGGCACGGGCTCGTTTGGCCGTGTTATGCTGGTGAAGCACAGAGAAACGGGACAGCATTACGCCATGAAGATCCTCAACAAGCAGAAGGTCAGTCTCGGCAGAGTGGGGGTCAAGGAGGTCGCAGGAGGGCGGGCGGAGTTAGGAGGGTTGGGAGATGTTATCGTCATCGAGACGCTCATGTTCAGTGTTCCCACGTGTTACTCGTGGGAACACTGACCTGTTCTTTATTGGTATTGGAAAAAAAAAAAAACAAAGTCCCGGTGCTTCGTTCAGGGAGCATCAAATCCAGGCGTAAGCTTCGTCTCTGATCATCCTGCTAATAGTAAATGAGAATATTATTGTGGCGTAAGACAGGAAGTAGTTGTTGAGTTGTGCTGGTAGTCGCTGAAAGCTTTTAAGCTGTTTATTTGACAATCTTTTATGGATTTTGTTGTTGTTGTTGTTGTTGTTGTTGTTGTAGAAGACCCAAACGGATCATAAGAACTGAACGGGTTTTGGAGGATACCGCATCTGGTTCATGACGCCGAAGTTAGCGTCTGAGTTTTAACTTCCCTTCAAAGTGAAAAGCCGATTTCATGTTTTATTTTAGGGAATCTGGACTGCATTTGATCATTTCTGGATAAAAGTAAAAAATAAAAATAAAAAATCCGTCTTTATAAAAGACAATTCAGACATTTCCGATGTCTGAATCGGTATCACTGCCACCTTAGAGTGAGTTCAACAGGTCAACGATGATGTATGTGCTGGTTAAACCTGGCTTGAGTTACTGATGCGGTTAAGACAGTGGAAGCCAGTCATGCTGTTCTCACAATGAAAGCGTCAGCAATTCAAACATGAGTCTTAAACTTGGAAATGCTCTGTCGAGCCTGAAGAGCTTACCTTCGTTTCCAGAACGAACAGATACAACGGCTAGGTAACGTTTTGTTAGGCGCGCTTCACTTTGATAAGAAATGTAACGGGGTGTTTACATTTTTAGAGATGTTACGCCGAGAGAGATCTCAGTAAACTCTTGTTGTTTCTGATTAACTGTGAAAACAACAACAACAAAAAAATGGTGTTTTTAAGTTATTCACAAAATAACATTAAAATCTCATTGTCTTGTTTTCCAAAACCCAGTATCAAGTGACTAATCGAGTATTTAACTGTTTAGTTAAAGTAAAGCTTGTATACCTCTCAGATGATGTTAGGGTGCTCTTGTAAGAGAGCTGTTGTGTTTTTTATTACCTAATTCAAATTTCACAAGTCTTTTATGTGATCAATCTGAGTTCCTTTCCTTCTTCTGAGTTTGCTTGTGTGTGTGTGTGTGACCTCCAGGTGGTGAAGCTTAAGCAAATAGAGCACACTCTAAACGAGAAGAGGATCCTCCAGGCTGTCAGCTTTCCCTTTCTTGTGCGGTTAGAGTATTCATTCAAGGTACGGAGAACGTCCGACGGTGTCCCTGTTTGTTTTCGCGGGCGGTCGCGAATTGGACGTTTTGTGGCGTTCAGGCCGACTGTCCAGAGCTTCTCCTCAAAACGGCCTCCGAAAGCATGTCAGCTTTGACAAGATCAAAGCGTTTCAGACCACCAAAATAAAAGACAGTGAGCTAAAAAGATGGGCGCTCGCCGCTACCCACTTCTCTGCTGTGCTTAATTGAATCAAACTGGCTGCTGCTGCTGCCTGCTGTGGAGTCCCGCGCTGCTTCTGCACGGCGCTGCTCCGTCCTGTCTGTTTATGTGGCGTCAGTCGCCTCTTTGTATGCAGAGGCAGCATCAGGCGTGAACTTGTCTGTTGCTGCATAACGAAATGATTGTGTGGCACGTGAGCATGCGGAGGAAGTGTGAGCTCCAAACGCTCAGAGCTCTGATGACCCCACTGCTGACCTCTCCGTTTAGACCCAGCCACGTTTTGGCGTTCACCTCTCGCTAACCTTTGCTCATTCTGTACCGTAAGATTTTATGAGGATAGCAGTCATAGTTACTGTTTAATCGCGTAAACAGCGAGATGCACTGACAAGTTGAATGTGGCCAGTTTCGGATCAACGCTTTTGTAAGCGGTCTGACCTGCTGAGCTTCGATTAAACCGAGTTTAACATGAATTCCAGCTTTCCCAGTGTGATTATTAAAACGTTTACTGGGAACGAATGTGATATTCTACCACGTCCGTGAGAGAACAATCGCAGTAAATCAGGTTAATGCTGATCGTAAACAAAGACAAAATGTTTTGAAGTTTTCATATGGAAATGTCTTCATCATCCTCTACTAGCTATTAGCATCGTTAGCATTGCTGAACGTCAGTGTTTGTGTGTGTCTCCTGGAAATTACAGACCTAAGGGAACAAAAGTAGGAAATGGTTAATACCCATTTATGTTGTTGTTTTATCGGTTTCCAAGTCTGACTACGTTTATGGAAAAATGTCAGATTTCTCCAGATGAAAATCAAGATTTCTGGAAAAATTGGGACTTAAAAAAAAATTACCTCAGTTTCAGATTATTTCCTCTAGTTTGGATTTAGATAATCAAAATTTGACTTTTTGTCCAGGTCATTCACCAGAAAAACGTACATTTAAGAATCTAAACATGCCATCGATTCACGGCTTTTTTAATGCCTTTTTCAGAACCTGTAGTTTCTAAACTTGATCCAGTTTAGATGTAATTCACTCCTTCTTCTACAACCAGAACACGTGTGGCCAATCAGAAGGTGTGACCTCCCATTCGTAAACTTTTTAAGAGCCTATCCAATCAAGAGTCTTTAATAAATTTGCATAAACCAATCCAGATTAGATTCATTACTTCTGTTGTGTTGTCGCCTCTTCCGAGACCGTAAACCCGCGTCTCAGCAGAACAAAACCAGGCCGGCCACGTGAAGAGGTGTCAGCAGCGCTCTTGCGCCCACACAGACTAACCCAGATGAGGGCCGTGCTCCAATTATGTCCTTACTCAGGTTAAGCTGTTTAGATGCACCTGGTTGGGCAGGCATCCAGTATCCTTGAGGCCTTAAATAAACCTATTAACGGTCCATATGTGCTGCTCTGCACACGGAGTGAAGTGGCACCGATGAACACTAATCTGTGCCACCAGTCATTCTGAGAGGTCCAGTATCATTTTTGTGTATTAAAAACGCTTTCAATGGAGTAAAATTACAGGTAAATGTATTTTATTCGTAAGAGAAAGCCTTCCTCAGCTCTTATGCTGCTGAGCTGTTGTTCTGCAGCCCAACGGAGACAAACTGACTCTAGGGTTCACCTTTGACGCTGGTATTTTGAGTTTTTGTGAAACTATTTTGTCACTTTATTTGTGTTACGGTCTTGTCATTTAAGGTTTATTTCACCAAGGCAGTCAGGGAACACACATTAGCAAGAGGTTCAACAAGCTTTGTGCTCAGATTCCCATGTCTTTTTCCAGTTTATTGTGTGTTTGTATATCTAATCTCCGTCCTTTTATTTATGCGTCCAGGACAACACCAACCTTTACATGGTTATGGAGTATGTACCAGGTGGAGAGATGTTTTCCCACCTACGAAGAATTGGCAGATTCAGGTCAGTGCATTTAACAGTCCCTCCAAACTGTTGCCATGTTTTTGTTGTTGTGACTGTTTTTGCAGCCTGAAATAACTGATTTTGCTGTACCTTTTTCAAAAAGTTGTGGTCGAAGATGCATTTTTTAAGCTTTATTTTGCCATAACATGATCTTATAAAAACCTCCCAATAAATGACGGGATTTTAACAGAGTTAAAACTTAAAATGCAGATAACATTTTCAAGTGCCTTCTTAAAATAGCAAACGTAATGCAAATAAAGTCATGTCCCAAGGAGTAGTCAAAGTGCAAAAGAAGAAACCCTTATTGGTCATTCAGGATAACATGAACTGTTTGCTGCACAAGCAGATCCTGCAGAATGTCTCACAAGGGTTTTTGCAGAAAAAAAAAAAAAAAAGAAAACGTTACCGCTTAGCGTCACGCATGCTTTCTTCTTCCAGGTGCAGGTTTCTGGAGATGTTGTAAAACAGGAAGTTAAACTATTAACTATTATTGAGGAGATTGGTCCAAATTCAGCCAAGTTCCAGTGATTGGTCAGAAAAAAACGTTAAGGTGATTCGTCGGATTTGCAGAAAAGTTACAATGGCTACTGAAAAGTCTGAGAAAAGAATTGCGAATAAAGAGTGAATTTGCACTAAGAGTTGCTACTGCAACTTCCTGGAGTTACTGATTGAAGTGTGCATTCAGGAAGCGCTCAGTAGTTTCTGATGACAGCCATGAAGATGTTTTGGTATTTTTTTGCTGCGTCTTAGTTCTCCAAAGTTTTTACCAATCCACTCACTGTCGGTTCCTGCTGTGCTTCTGTTGGCGCAGTGAGCCGCACGCTCGGTTCTACGCTGCTCAGATCGTGCTGACCTTTGAGTACCTGCACGCTCTGGACCTGATCTACAGAGACTTGAAACCTGAAAACCTGCTCATAGACCAACAGGGCTACATACAGGTCAGAGGTTCTGTTTCTTCTATCACGATCTTTCGGTGTTTTGTGTCCTGGTTTTCATTTTTGTCCATGTCGTGACAGTTTCGCTGTAGGTTTTTGCCATATTCAATTTATTTTTCTGTGTTGATTTATTATCACAAGGGTGTTCTCATATTAGCTCGTTTCTTTGTATTTACTTCCTCGGGCTTATTCTTGTGTTATCATTTGTGCATTTGGATTTATTTCTCTGATATCAGTTTTTGTGTTTTTTTCTGTTGTTTTGAAATTGTTTGAGATAAAATTATTATTTTTTTATCACAAACTGGGATTTAAAGGGATTAAAATCATCCATTCCACACTGTAAAAAAAAAAAAAGTCTCTAATTTACGGTAAAATACCGGTGCAGCTGTGGTTGCCTGAATTTTAAATAAATTTCATAAATACGGTAAAATTCTGGAAACCAAATGAAAACCAAACAGGAGAGTCTACATGTTCATAATTTCCTAAAAGTCTGAAAAAGAAAAAAGAAATCTAGAAAACTGGAAGTGAAATTTATATTCATGTTATTGTAGTAAAACTGGAAGAGTCTTGAATGGTTATGTCGCCCCCTTGTGGTTTAATGAGAAATAACACCAAATATTTCTTTCTGCTCCAAGATGTTTTCTCTTCCATCTATCTCTGTCCATTTTATTTCTGTTGTTTCTCATTAAAATAAATGTCTGTCAGCTCTTTTTTCTCTCTTTCTCTCTCATTGCTACTCAGGTTACAGATTTTGGCTTTGCCAAACGGGTAAAGGGCCGGACCTGGACACTGTGTGGCACCCCAGAATATCTGGCTCCAGAGATCATCCTCAGCAAGGTGATCCATCTTCTCTTGACTTTTTTGTTTGTTTGTTTGTTTTTGATTGTGTTTTTAGTAGAAGACTGAAGTGTGGCAATCTGAAAATGCAAGTGAACTTTCTCCACCTGTTTACACTGGCAGGGATATAACAAGGCGGTGGACTGGTGGGCGCTGGGTGTTCTGGTCTATGAGATGGCAGCAGGGTATCCTCCTTTCTTTGCCGATCAGCCAATTCAAATCTATGAAAAGATTGTATCAGGGAAGGTGAGTTTTGCTGTTTTCATTTTGAAATGTTTGGTGTTTTTGACTGAAGACGGACTTCTCCACTCCGTTTCACTGTTTAGTCTCGCGCTTTTGAGAGAAAAATGTTACTAATTTCCGGTACTTTTCTCTTTTGTGTTGTTTAAAAACTCAGTGATTTCTGGGGACTTCTTCTACAGTATGTAAATGTTTCGGCAAGAAATCCAGATGTTTCGTGGTACATTATTTAATTTTAGGATTTATGGTCTTATATAAATAAGTCTCACCAAGACTGAGTAATTTCAGTTCTTGTACATAATCCAACCGAAGAGTTTGACATTTTTATAAAATGTGAACTAAAAATCTACAAGGCAAAATGTAAGAATAAACATTAAAGATGAAAGTTTCTCTTCTTATTAGAGAAATCTGAATTTTCATTGAGTAGTGTTTTTTTTTTTTGACATTTTAAAAACCTTTTAGAGCTACATATTAATATATTGAATTGCAATATCATATTCACTAAGGACTGCTTGGATGCAATATTTGACAGGATATATTTTGTACGCAATCCAAGCAAATTCTGCCTGCCAGGAATGATTCTGGTCTGTTGAGATACATGTTCACTGTATGGATGCCTTCAGATTGCAAAATAGCGGTGGGAACGTGATGACAATGGAAACAGAAAAGAAAAGAAATTAAATTGTGCGTTAAGTAGCATCCCAGTTACGTTTCACAGATATCATGGAACCCTATTTTAAATGCAGTAACCGTCTTGCACCGGTGTCAGATTTCACTCCTCCAGAGCCGGTGCCATGCGGCTCTCAGACGTGTCTCAGCTTCAGCAGACCCAATCAGACATTTAGGTCATTAGCAGGACTCTGGAGAACTTGACTGCAGCCTTTTGACTCAAATGTTGGTGAACTAGAGATGCATGTAAAGTTTCAGGTCGCCGCCCCTCGAGGACTGGAGTTTGACACCATTAGAGTGAATCAAGGCGAGTTCAGTATCGTTTTCATTTTGTAAAAAAAAATAAACAACCAGTTGGAAGTTGACACCAACAACCATTGGTGCAAAAAACCTAAGTGGATTTCTCCTTTTCTTGTTCGTGTAGGTGATGGACAGACTAACAGATGATGATGAGGATAGGCAGGAGTTCTCCAAGGACTGTGGTGTTTGCAGACGACATTGTGGTCTGCAGTAAGAGCAGGGCGCACATAGAGGAAAAGCAAGACAGGTGGAGGTGTGTACCGGAAAAGAGAGGGATGAAGATCAGTCGCAGCAAGACAGAATGTGTGTGTGTGTGTGTGAATGAGAGGGGCACAAATGTAACAGTGATGTCACAGGAAGTAAAGGCAAAATAAGGTAGAGGCCTGGGGTCAATCTTCCAGAGCAGTGGAAGAAGTGTGGAAAAGAGGTGAAGAAGTGTCTGCAAGTGGGGTGGAATGGATGGAGAGAAGCGCAGAGTTGGATGTGATAAAAGTGGATCAACGAGAATGTAAGGAAAGTAGTGACACCGGCGATGGTGTGTGGTTTAGAGGCAGTGCCGATGAAGAGGAGACGGGAGGCAGAACTGGAGGTTTCACAGCTCAAGATGTTGAGGTTCTGTTTGGCAGTGATGGGATGAGCAATCAGAGAGGCCAGGCTGAGACGGTTTGGACATCTGTAGACATGTCAGCAGGTTGGAAGCCACGGGGCTGGAGCCCGAGAAGAAGACCAAACCCAAGATGTATGGATGGACATGAAGTTAGCTGGTGTGAGCGTAGAGGATGCAGAGGATGCTGTGGCGACCCATGAAGGGTAAAACCAAAAGAGACAACAAAAATGAGAAGGATCCCCAATGCTCCCATTCACCTGCTTGTTGGGTTTTTTGGTGACTTGTTGTGGAAGACTCTTTTTGGCTCTGTAACTGTGCGTTCACACAACCGCTTCCTCTATTTCCTTGTCCTCAGGTTCGTTTCCCGTCTCACTTCAGTTCAGACCTGAAGGACCTACTGAGGAACCTCCTACAGGTGAAGGCAAAAGTCGAGGAAGTTCTGAACTTCCAGTGAGGCGTGGTTTACTTTTCCAAGACCTCCAAGATGATGAGAACGTTCTCCTCTTGGTTTCAGGTGGATCTCACAAAACGCTTTGGGAACCTCAAAAACGGAGTCAATGACATCAAAGGACATAAGTGGTTCGCAACAACTGACTGGATTGCCATCTACCAGAAAAAGGTGCGTGTTGGTGTTTCTACATTGTGTCTCCGTTTGCACTGGATTTGATTGCGATTTGGAGCCTTTTATGTTTTTGATGTTTTTTTTGTTTCTAGGTGGAAGCTCCCTTTGTTCCAAAGTTCAAAGGACCAGGCGATACCAGCAACTTTGACGACTATGAAGAGGAGGAGATCCGCGTCTCCTTCACCGAGAAATGTGCCAAGGAGTTTGCTGAATTCTAGAGTTAGAGGAGAAGAAATAAGGAAAATAGGGAAAGTCTAAGGTAGGCTGGTCAAAAGGGAGACACAAGAAAAGTGTACTGTCTTCTGTCCAAATATAAGCACCAGCTACAAAAAAAGAAAAAGGGAAAAAAATCGAATAGAGGTGTGTGGAAAAAGAGAGCGGAGACTGATAACCAGCAGTGTTGCCTTTTCTGTTGCGTTTTTGTTGTGTTTTCTTTATTGTCGTCTTATTTATGAATCCCTTTATAACGACACTGTGTTTCATGGGTGTCGGGAGCCCCGCTGACTTAGAGTTGCCTCTACGCATTCTCGCCCGAGATCTTCCCGTTTCTGCATCCGTTTCCGTTCCGTTCGTTTCTGCGCCACAGCAAAGACGAGTCAACACTTCAATCGGCCGGTCATCGCACGAGTGCGCACGCAAGATATCGTCGGTTCGCGCCGACGAGATGGTTTGAGCAAAACACAACACGCGTTAAGATAAATGCCCATGTGATATATAGTTTGTCTTGAGTTCACCTGACCCATCTCATAGATGAAACACTTCAAAGGCTCGAGGGGCCAAAAGAAAGACGAAACAAAAAGTCAGGTACGTCTGTTGTGTAACTCCATCTACGGCTCTTATTATTGTTAATATATACAGACTTTGTACATATCTGCAGTACTCCATTTTTAAATGTTAGTAGGTACTTAGTGGCTCCAGTGAAACCATATCATGCTAACGTTACAGTACGACGACATACCAATAAAAAGGACGGATTTCTCTCAGTTTCAACGGTGTTGCGAGAAAAACACCAACCGCATAATGGAAACTCAGGTTTGAACATATCACTTAACAGACATTTATCTCCATAAAGCCTAAGGATCAGCAGGTAAATCTCGGAGTACAGATTTGGGAATTTGAAGTTCTGGTTTTAAACGAGTTTAAAAGGAACAAGAAAAGAAAAAGAGGGTCTATTTAGAGTTTTAGTTGGCGTCTTCCACACTTTATCCCTTCCAGAATTTTTGGTCAGTTTTGATAGAAAAGCACTTCCTGTTTCAGCTCAGAGCTAATTTACTACATGAGATTATTCTACTTATTGAAACAACCGTTTGGCCCCCCTGGTTTTGACTTTTAGACACCGTGTGAGGCAGAGGACCTCCGACTGCTTCTGGCTGAGGGTCGTCGGCACTCCGGTCCGTACGGATGGCGATCAGGATGGTGTGCTTTACCTTGATTGTCGCTCGTGTCACAAAAGAGAACCATGCAAACTCTGTCATCATTTCTTTTGTGTGCGTTCAGGACATGCACTAGTTTTGCTAAGTTTCATTTTATGTGTATGTATTGATGATCTGAAAATGATTGGTACTCTGTTTGTCAAGTTAGAGATGGGAAGTGAATATGCATCTGGGAATTTTGTATTGAACATGTTTTTCCTCAGTGAATTTGTTTCCATTGAGGATATTGGTATAAAATTCACACCAGATGTTGCTAGCAACCCAAATAATCTGCACATACAAAGAAATAAAAGCAACTAAGTCCATAAATCAGGTTGCATATTATAAAGTTGAATTCTCTTAAATATTTGAAAGAAAAGCTTTAAGGCATCTCCCGTATGTAGAAGCTAGTCGAAGTTCTCAGTTGTCATTTTGACTTATTCTTTGATAAAAACTGTCTTCAAATTTCTTCACCGCTCTCTGATAACCAGTTATTTCTATAGTGTTTCTAATTATGTTCAAGTCAGGTGACTGACTGAGCCGTTTTTCTCTCCTCTGGTTCCTTTTCCGACACCAGATTACAAGTTTCCATGACTGTGTTTTTGGCATCATTGTCTTTCTGACATGTGCTGTTGCACTCCTTCCTATCTTGCCACTGGCATTTTAAAAGATACCCTGTTACATGAGTCTGAACATGAGGAGGAAATTAAGGACATTTTGCAAAACCTCAAATTCTGTCATGTTTTTCAAGTGTTTGTTACTTTAGATCAGCTTTGTCTGTTTATACTAGAGACAAATAGGACCAATTTTGTTTAAATGTTCTGCAGTCATGACCAGTCATGTATTGCTTTTTCATAACCACGCCATCTTTTAATTTCTCTTTAGAAAGAGTAAACAAAAGACCCTATGGGAATTAAATTTCTATGTTTTGAGAGCGCCCCCTAGTGGTCAAACAATTACTAACCAAATTAATCAGAACACAACAGCTGCAGCTGACATGATTTTGTAGCAGCTGCTGCGTGTGTAACAACCACTCTCATGTGGCAAGATTTTGTTTATATTATAATTAAAGTCGTGTATGTTACAGTGTTGAATGTATAGTGATGCAATATACATTATTTTCCAATCACATAATTTCCTGGAGGTAAAAAAAAACTGATACAAAATATTGTAACAAGGGCATTACTAAGAATATCTTGGTACATTTCTTCCTATAAATGCTGCCACTACCACATCCTGTAAGACGGGCCCACAGTATCATGTTCCCACCTCCGAACGTCACTGTCAATGTGGTGTTTTTGGGGTTGGTGGCCAGTGCCATTTCTTCTCCAAACATTGTGTGTGTAGTGACATTCAAAGAGTTTAATGCTGGTCTCATCTAAAGATGATAATCCAGTTTTCCACTGACTTGACCAAAATGTTCTGTAGCAGACTTAGAGCAAACTTTCCGGTCAATAGGAGAGTCTTGCATAGTTAGTTTTCAATGAGGCCATTGTGGTTTATTTCCATGATTTAAAAAAAATGGATTACTAAAGCTCAGTGAGAGCAATCATTTACTTTCGGAGACCTGTTCTGATTACTCTTTTTTTGTCAGAAATTTTTACAGAAAACACAGAAGCCACCCAGCCGTGGCTGATTTTTAGTGAAATTGTGTTCTTTCCTCCTCCGGATAATGGCTGTAATGGTTCGGTGCCATTTGTATTTTTTGTAATAATATGGTTGTGGAGATTCTTACGTTTTTCTGGCAACAGCATGAAAGACAAATTGTTTATGCTCCCGCCTAAATCAGCTGTCATAAATTATTGATAACTGAACTAATACAAGACAGGATTGCTTACTACATGGTTACAGATTTCAATTATGTTTTAGTTGCCTTTTTCACTCAAGTTTATTACATATAACTTTAATTTCTGGAGCAATTTGTGTCGATCTTGCTGTGAGTGGGAGTTTCTTGGGTTGTTACAGACATCCTGTGTGAATTTTTATGTCAGTAGGACTAATAGAAATGTGTTTACTGAGAAGAACTGTTTGATCATTGTTTTCCTGCTACAGCTTGTTGAAATATCCTTTAACATGTTCGCCAAACAACCTGGTGATTTGAAGCTTACGACAAAGGCCACCTCGGATGTTTGGGGGTCTCCTTGCTTGACACAGTTTGACAGCAGGGCATTAAAACAACGTCCTGAGAGGATTCAATTGTTTGTTTCAGGCGTTAAATCATAATTTGATCTTTTACCTTATTAGGGATGTGAAATATTGCAGTTCAGATAGGCACAAGGAATTCCTTTCATCATGTTTTTTGTCAAGAGTCTCGACTTCGTGAAAAATCTCAGATATGAGAAAAATATGATTGGCCTTTTGTTTGAAATACACATCTGCAATGTTACTAGTCTGTGTGCATCATTTGTAAATTAGAGTGGTGTTTGAAATGGCTTAACATGAAGGAATTGTCCAGGTGGACGACCTGGGTTCACAGTATCCTTTACCACATGTGTCTCTTAGGAGAGACCATTCCCGTCCATCTATCTACTGTCTTCCACTTATCCAGGATCGGGTTCAAGAGGGATCCCCAGACATCCTACCCTGGCCCCCATAAGCATCATCCAGCTCATTCTGGGGCATCCCAAAGCGTTCCCATGCCAGATGGGACATAAAATCCCACCAGTGAATTCTGGGTCTTCCCCTGGGTCCGATCACGTTCCAGTGGGACGTGATCGGAAAACGTCCAAAGGGAGGCACCCAGGGGGCATTCGGATCAGATGCCCAAGCCACCTCGACTGACTGTTTCAATGTGGAGAAGCAGTGACTGAGTCCAACCATCCTCTAGAGGAAGCTCATTTCGGTCGCTTGTATCCAGGATCTCATACTTTCAGCCTCTTTTCTTATCTTATTACCACAGGTGAGGGTCAGAACCTAGGTCAGTGAATTGAGAGCTTCGCTCTTTTTTCAGTCACAACACGTCACAACTGCATACAAAGCCCCGATCCATCTGTTGATCTAGCATTCTGTCCTACTATCACTCGGGAACCAGACACCTAGATACTTAAACTCCTCCACTTGAGGCAGAGACTGACCCCTGACTGAGAGGGGAGCCGTCTTCCTGTCTCTGCTCAGGAACTTTGGCTTCAGACTTAAAGGGGCTGACTCTCATCCTGGCTGCTTCACGCTCTGCAGTGAACCGCTCCAGTGCCCACTGGAGGTCATGGGCTGAAAAAGCCAACAGAACCCCCATCTTAAGTAAAAAAAAAAAAGTAAAAATGAGATGCTGATGTTTCCGAACCAGACGCCCTCCCCTACAGGGTTATTCCTTGATATCCATGAATATTGGTGGAATCCAGAGCACACTGGGAACAGGCTTCACTTTGTGCCGAGAATACAGACCCCAGGTCCTGCTTTGGGCACACATAGATTGGATACCCAGCCAGACACCCCATACTTGTGAAGAACAGCCCCCAAAATACCTGGGATGGACCTGGTCATAAGTCTACTTCAGATCCATAAACCACAAGTAGAACTGACAAGCAAACGCCCTCGGCAGTTCTGCAAAGTAAAAGATGTAGCCCACTGCTCTATGAGCCACATTGCACTTCCTGTATCCGAGGTTCAGCCGTCAGTCAGAGCCTCCTCTCCGATACAGCGAATAAACATCAATAAACATCAAATAAGAGAACTTGCAGGAAGCAACATAAACACAATATGTTATCACGTCTGGTAAAAATGTTAATTACAGAAATACTTTAGTGTAGTACCACAATATCACACTTTTTAAAAATATTCCAACTTGTTATTGAAGTAAATTTACTCAGTGAGGAATGAAATACCATGTTAGGAAATAATTGTTTTCAACAATGTGACACAGTCACTGGGAGCCCTGTGTTAAGACGTCAAACAGCCACCTTTTTACAATAGTGCAGCACAACAGCATTTACAGAGATGGACTTTTGGCCGTTTTCTTTTACATAATCCTCTCTATAGAGATTCTCCAGAGTCTTGGCTCTTCAGACTTTGTTCAGTTTACTGATAAAAGCCACCAGGCTTTTCTCTAAATCATCAGGTATTTCAAAGAATTTATGATGCCATAATCAACAGGCTCACAGCGTCACAGATACTCCGCTGTACTTCAGTCAACATGACACTTACACATGTTCATACTTTGTTTCAAACCCACTTACAGTGTTTGTTGCTGAAAAGCTTAATCTCTGTTTCATCTGACCAAAGCTCGTACCGCTGTCTAGGGTCTCAGTAGAGTTTTGCAAGCTGTCCGTGTTTCTGTTAACGAAGGAGGGACTGGAAAGGCTTCGTGCCTCACATGCAGCTGGGTGGCTCGTAGACAGGATCTCATGATTGTTATGGAGACTTGGCGTCCCCCAAAGATGTCATTATTTGCTGCAGTTCTCAGTTCAGCTCTGTTCTCTGAATTGAAATGCTTCTATTGCATCTATTTTAAAGGGAATGTTGGGACTACCAGAAAGAATGGCTCTGGTAACTTTGTTGAAAAAATCTATTACATTCTATCATTCAATTATTTCCCTCACTGAGTAAGCGTACTCAAGTGAAAGTTTGGACTTTGTATTTTTTCTAGTGGGAGATTGTCCCGCTGCAGTAAATTCTGAATTCATTATATGTTTTGTTTTGGGGTTTTTTGTACAATTTTTTGGAAAAATAGGTTTGTCTTGTCAGTTCCCTTATTACAAATGCAGGTTAAGATCTACAAACACTCAGTTCACATCTCTCACATGGTTTAACACGTATGTGGTAAATTTGTTACAGTTTGAGCTGCTGGTTTTGTCGTGAAACTCTAAGGCAAAAGTGTGTTCACTGGCTGTGTTATTATTACTACTGTGTGAACAGAGACAGAATGTGAGTTTGGTCTGAGTTACAGCGAACCTGGAACACCTAATTGCAGAATAAAAACACATACTACATCTGAAACAATGGTCCACTGTAACATTATTTATTTTACCTTGTGATTCACACAGAAAGAGTCTGAAACTTTTAGGCCCCTTCATAAAATGACCTAATGTTATGCTTCACATTTGTTTTTCTGTATCCTTGTATGTTATAAGTGGTAGGAAATGAATTACCACAATAAATCTGGGGCTTGTTTATTTTGTTTATGCCATGTCAGGCCACTTGGTTTGAATTAAAAAAAAATGTCTCTCTTGAGTTGTTATGTTCAGTGTTCTGTCAATTTATTTTCTTGACGAATCTGAAGATATGTTGGCAGACAGATGGCAGCTTTCTGGTCGTCATCCGCTTGCTCACTGATTATGATAGCCTAATTTATAGACTATTACTATCATCATGATATTGTTTACATCTGTGGTTGGGACATCACATCCCCAACATTTCCTTCATGTCGGGTTCAGTATGCAGCATCCTTGAGACACTTTTGCAGAGACACAACTTCTTCTCAGTGCAGGCACAATGCTGGTACATAAGAGCCCACTGTCGCACTTTTTAGGGAAATGAGACCTCCCTCCTCCCCAGCCAGTGTAAACCATATCGACCCATACCACTCACACACACACAGACACACATGCGTACACACAAAACACTCTTGTGAAGGGAAGCATCTAAAGTCACGGGAACAGTGACATAAAAACAAGTGTAATATTTTGCAACATGAGTATCATTCCAATAAAGTTTTACTTGTAAAATCTCCCCTGAACTTGTGTGTCCTTACTGAGTAGTGTGTGCGTGCGCGTGCGTGTGTGTGTGTGTGTGTGTACGTGTGTGTGAGTGATTGTTCAAACAAGGACAAGTTCATGGAGAAAGAAAATGATGGTGACGTGTGTAAATCATCCTCTAGTAAAGACTGACTGGGGTATTGGTTATCCCCCACCCTTCCCATTCCTTGCCTTTGTGAACTTGTCTTTTTCCCACCAACCATGAGTGCAGAGGTTCCTAAGCAGTCTGGAAAAGTAGACAAAAGTATGAAATGTGTTTCCAGTATTTTCCAGATCTGGATAAGTATAGAGAAAAAGAAAAAAACTATGAAAGCATGTTTGTATTTTCAAATTTTATGCCTGTGTCTTTGTCTGGAAGTTGTGTCCTTTGTTGGGACCTACCTGTGTATTTTCCTTCTTGTGTCCTTCTACTTCCTACTTACTTCAGTCCTTCTCTTCCTTTCTCATTACCATCATTCCTCCTTTCCTAGTGTCCTTTCCTTTTCCCTTCTTCCTTGTGCCTTGTGTCCTTCCTTCCATATTTCCTCATTGCATCCTTCCCTTCTTCTCTAACACACATGATGGAAATGCTAGCATGTAAACAATGGCCATCTGTGACGATGAACACATATAACAGAAATGTTTTCTATCCAATGGTTTGTTTTCTTTATGTGTGTTAAAGTCAGGCAGCCTTCAGTCTCACCACATTTTGTCAATGTCTTAGAACCCATCTACATATTTATGTAAAATATCTTAGTTTTCAGTCTTTATAATGAACTTCGCAGTAAAAGAACAGCTAAAGTAAGACTGGTTGTGTATCTGTATTAGGCCAAAGGTCTGCAAGAAACACAGATATCCCTGGGAAAGATGTGATTAGCTATGAAACTATTTGTAAAAGTTTTTTTTCCTCATATTATTAACTGAAGCTCCAAACAAGTATTAGTCCTGCCAACATTTATATGTGGGACCCATATGGCTATGTGGTGAAAAATAGGCCCCACTTTAGACTGTCCAGAAGTTACATAACTATGATAATAGCCTACATTTTGTTGTGGGACAACTGGGTAAAAAGTGGCACCCATATGGAGTCTAACTGTGTTGTGCAATTTGAAAAGATTGTCCTAATATCCATTTGACAAGTCTGGAATAATGCTAAAAAAAAAACATTTCAGAAAACTTTAACTTTTTGCAAGTAGATCTGCCAGTCCATTTTGTGTGTGTGTGTGTGTGTGTGTGTGTGTGTGTGTGTGTGTGCGTGTGTGTGTGTGTGTGTGTGTGTGTGCGTGTGTCTGGTTGCTTGGATCCAACATTAAGCTTGGCTCATCAATGAAAAATAAATAGAGAACAATCATTTACTTGAAAACAATGTGAAGACAAATTTTGTTGTCTCATATATGTAATTTTACTGAAGAACTTCATCACAGAAGTTAAGGCAAACATGTCAAAACTGGATCAACACCCAGATCTTAAGATTTCCCAAATTAACCATTTATTTAAAGAACAAGCAGGAATTTAAGACACAATCCAGTCTGAGTCATTTTTAAGCCTGTGTTTTGTATATACCTTTTGAAGAAACTTAAATTAATGATTAACTTGGGGATTGGTGGGATGGAGTTCTCCCTTGGGTCTCAAAAAATCTTGGGGCGGCCCTGTTTCTTAAAGTCGATATCCTTAACTCATAAAAAACTACTTAACTACAGAATGGTTCCTTTACTCTTACGAAAAACTGAAGGAACAAATGGACCAATAGTTTTTGTTTTGGACTTTTTGGGGGGTCAGCCATTCATCCGGAATGGAGTTGCCCTCTACCTTTATGGAAATACTCAGTCGGATTCATCAAAAAGACCCAAAGATGATGGTAAAATTCAGAGAGCTTCTATGTTTCTTTGTGCTGTGGTGGATGAGTTTTGCTGTAAAACCTTCAACAAAGAGTACAGACACAAGGCGAGAGAGTCCGCCTTAAAAGCTGTTTTGTTGGACGGAGGCGCCATCTTCAGTCCACCTTAAACGCACAATGTAGCCAACGAACGCTGGAGTTCCTACAGGGCTACGGCAAGCCGTTTGTGTAAATATTTCACATCCCTAGAACATAGTTATTGTCTGCTAGTTTGCAACAGCTGTAGTTCAACGTGTCCTCATATTAATTAATTTTGCTTGATTTGTCCCTAACTTTAAAAAAAAAAAATCTAAACCACATTGTTAGTGATGTATAACAACGTATACACCAAAAATGATTTTAGATTTGTTAAATCCCAGAGAATGTCAAAAGATTCTCTTTGAGACTTTTGAGAAGTTAGAAGTAAGCTTCTCATGGGTTAATTCCCAACATTTGGGTTATGCGGAGACACATCTGTGGATGCAGTTTAAGGTAGCACTTAAAGCAGTTTGTGTCCTGGAGTGACATCACAGAAAAATCTTTAAAAAAACCAAACATGGTATCAGAGAATCTACAGGAAACCACAATGTGGATGTGCGACTGTGGCGCAGGAAGTCTAACATGTGGTGGAAGAACTTGGAGTCAGAAGACCTGCAGTGCAGGAGCTTGGACTCTGCAGACTGGTGGTGCAAAACTTTGAAGGGCTGCAGTGCAGGAGATCTGTGACATGGCCGATTAGGTGGTAGAGCAACCTGAGGTGGTTGAGGTATATGCCTTGAAAAGCCCTGATGATGGTCGGTGATGAAGGCAGAGGAACCTTGGGGACCCATTGGCATCAGCTGGGGAACTTGGTTGGTGGTGCTTGAGGAATCCTTGAGGCTGGTGGGAGAGCAGCTGAGTGTCTGGAGGCTGATGGTATACAGGTGCTTAGAGGCTGCAGGCTAGCAGTGACAGGGGAAGGCATGGTCTGGAAGCTGGCGGTGGTGAAGCGGCTGGACCTGAGGCCGGATAAGATGAAGTCTGGAAGCTGCAAATCTGTGATGCAGGAGCTTGGACTCTGGAAGCCTGCAGTGCTGAAGGTCTGGAGGATTGTGATGTGGTTGGCGACCCTGAAGAGTAAAAACCTGCCTGTCACTTTGCTCCTGACACACCTAAGCCTGTAGCAATGAGCAATAAATCAATTAAATGTACAATGAATTAAAACAAGCTCAATATTTTCCATTTGCATGATTTGTTGTTTTTCTCTTTTATCTCTCTCTCTCTCTCTCTCTCTCTCTCTCTCTCTCTCTCTTTCTACCAAAAACTTGGTGTGAGTCTTCCAAGTCTTCCAAGAGCTTTGGTATCAATTAGCCCTTTTTTGAAGAACACATTTTCTTACAGAGACTTCATGATTAATGTTATTTGTTGTTTTGTTTATTTAAAATGTTTTTCAATTTCCCTGTTTAATTTTTTTTTAAGAATCTTTAAGGGTGTGTTATTGCATTGTATGCCATCATTACCATAGTATTACTTGAAAATAGACTAAAAAGAACAATATTATCGTTTATCGCAATGACCTCTGGGACAATTGATCGTCCCGCAAAATTTGTTGCCGTGACAGGTACACCTGAATTTCCCCACTTTGAGGCAATAAAGATGAAGTCTATTCTATTCTTCGTCAAAGATACGGAATATGTACAGCAACGGCTTGCCATAGACTTCCGTCCTCAGTTCTCCAGCCAGAAAGGGGTGTGGGGGGTACCGCCGCACTTTGGCTTCCCAGCTCTGACACAGCGTCACCGGTGAAACAAGAAGACGCACTTTCGGGCCGAGCCCCGTCCGCACCCACAAAGGAGAGACGATGTCCGAGCCCAACAAGTACCGAGAGTGGATCCTGGAAACTATCGACTCTCTCCGTTCGAGGAAAGCCCGTCCGGATCTGGAAAGGATTTGTCGAATGGTCCGGAGGCGACACGGGTCAGACCCAGACCGAACCAGGACGGAGCTGGAAAAACTCATCCAGGAGCAGACGGTGCTCAAAGTTAGCTACAAGGGATCGATATCGTACCGAAACGCGGCCAAGGTGCAGAGGAAAAGCAGAAAACGGAGCGAGTTCGGCGGCGGCGCGGATGCACCGAGGGAGCGGACCAAACCCGATCATCCGAACAACAACAACGGCGACAGCGCGCACAGCTTCACCGACCCGGAGGAGGGCGAGACGGAGCCGGATCCCCGCGCCGAAACATCAGTCGGCAGTCGAAACAAAAAGCTCCAGCCTGCCTCCAGCCCGGGTAGCGGAAACGGGTGCCTCAGTTGTGGCGCAACAACGAGCTGCGCTGTCGGGAGCGGCTGTGAAGAGGAGAAAGCAAGTGCACCGAGAGACAAGGGATTAGGACAGCAGGGAGCGGGGGGCTGCCTGCCTCTCGGAGTCAGCCGCGGCGCGGGCACCGGAGACCGGAGTGAGGATGTTCCGTCCGGCGGAGGAAAGAAGCCCGGTCTGTCTGGAGCTGACACCCGAAGCCAAACTTACTGCGGGAGCGACAGCCAAGCCCAGACACAGAGGCAGACCGAGTCTGGCCAGCCCAAACTTCGACTCGGAGGAGGAAGCACCAAAGCAGCGCACCGCCACGCCAACTCCGAGCTGCGCGAACTGGCAGCTCTGTCCGAGAAGCCCCTCCGAGCAGCAGGAGGTGGAGGAGGATGTGGTGGGGGCTCCGCCGCCGCGACCCGAGGCCACGTGAAGCCGCTGGGCTTGAAGGAGATCCTGGGCTACCTGAGCAGCCAAGAGCGGCTGTCGGAGGAGAAGCTGACCCGAGGCAAAGTCAAAGTGGTGATGGAGAGAGAGGTGGAGAGGGGCAGGCTGCGCAGGACGCGCTGCGGGAACATCACTCTTCCTCTGCGGGGGATGGAGCCGGACGAGCCCGAGCCGAGTGATTCGTCCGCCGACAGACTTGCGAGAAGCGCACTGCAGGACAAGCGCGCAGCGAAAAAGGTGGGCAACTTATTATTTCTGACACGTCTGTCCCGTCTGTCGCCACGAAGCGAACTGAGTGGATCTGCCTCGATGGGCTTCGCTCATAAATTAATGATCGGTGTTTTTAAAACAGCACGCGTGGCACCGAGGCGCGCCGGGCTTAT